TTCCAGTGAGTTCATACAGGTTAGAATCACTCGAGCTAGCTAGCGTATAACCTATGCCTCCCATTTCGGTGGCACAGAAATTGCAAAGACATGGAAACAGAACAGAACTCTGTCATTTTATGATAACTGGAGGGTTTTATTTGTATTTTAAAAAATTAAAACAGTAAAACAGAATGGCTGGAGAAAAACTATTTGAAAACCGTGCCTTGCTGAATTGGAATCTGGGAGAAAACCCTTTAACTTTGCAACAGACCCATGAAACCAAGTCCACGTGTGTCAGGGTGCACGGTAGTGTAGATGGCATCTTCTGTCTATTCACTTGTATCGTAGATGACATCTCTTTATCTATCATCTATCTGCCTATCTAATCCTCTAGTATCTATCAATCATTATCATGATCTCTCACCTATCAATCCATCAACTGTCTCAATATTATCCATATATCATATATCTGTCATCTATTAATTATATGTCTCTCTATATACCTACTATCTATCTACTGATAGATAGATAGACTGTCTATCTATCAGTCTATCTTACTTTGCTAGGGCTCCCATATCACAAACTATACGGCTTAAAGCAACAGAGATTTATAGTCTCACCATGCTAGAGGTTAGAATTCTGAGATCAAGGTGTCCGCAGGGTTAGTTCCTTCTGAAGGTTGTGAGGGAAGAAGCTGTTACAAGCCTTTTTCTCTGGCCTATAGATGACTATTTTCTCACTATGTGTCTCCACATCACCTTTTCTCTGTCTATGTCCAAATTTCCTCATGTTTTTATAAGAACACCAGTCATATCTAATATCCTACCTTAATAATTTTATTTTAACCTAATTACCTCTATAAAGACCCTATCTCCAAATACAGCTGCAGTTTCATTTATGCAGGGGTGAGATCTTTAACATATAAATAGGGGAGGAAGGCACACTTAAGCCCGTAATACTACCTACCTCTCCGAAGAGTAATCACAATGATTGTTTGGGAACTTACCTCAAGAAATTACATTGTTTACTTGTTTTGATCGAGTGCTTTATCACTAACATTAATTAGAAAGGTCAGCATGTGAAGATAATAAAGAACAGACCCACTATTTAGTAGGTTTTATTATTGCTTTTCTATTATTTACAGAGAGAGCCGCCTCCTATTGCCTGTACCTAGGGAGGACCACTCTTACCTCAAGCTCTTGCCACACACTGCCCAGCCGTGAGCATCAAGCTCCATAGGATACAGATTAGACAGAGGAGTGAAGGAGCGGATCTGGAGGCACACAGGCATGGATGGGCCAGCCACTTGTCCATGCGCATGACTGTTGTGTCTCATTTAATCCCAGTCACTAGATATTTTTGGGTCTGGCATGCTCTGCGCCCCTCTCGGGTAGGTAGGAAATGTTCTCCTGCTCCCATGGTGTTCCAGTTGCGGGGAACTTGGCAAGATTATCTTTTAGGCTATCGGACTAAGTGCATCACAGAGATGTCCCTTATCCTCCAGCACTGTGAGGTAACAGGGAATACTTTGCCGACATCCTCAACTCCGCCTGAGTCAGGACACAGATCGTTTCTGCCCTTGTATTCTCGAACCCGTCTGAGAGTTTATTATTCCCCTATGCCCCAGTCCCCAGGAACTGAATTAGGGAGTGGCCACCAGGCTCCTCCCAGGGACACACTGATATCTAGACCCTCTAAACTCTGCTCCTTACTATAATACCTTCAGCCAAGGAAATCATTTTATACTGTTAATCTTCAAGGTAACCATGTTATTCTTGGCCCACGATCTCCTAAGAATCTGTGCTTTTCATACTTAAAACTCAATAACTGCCTTTACGTTTCTGAATTTCATAGTTTCATCTCCTCTCTGGGGGAAGAGGGGATGCATAGCAGTTAAACCCTCAAACCATCGTACTCTATGTATACTGTTTTTTAATCATTCCTCAAATTATTATTAAATAACAACTTAGTCCTGTTGTTGAATTCTTGATTTCTGTATGTTAGCTATGTGACTTTGGGCGAGTCAGATAACCTTGTATGTCTCAGTTCTTTTACTGGGCATGTTTTGGTAACAATATCTATACTTCCTATAGCACACGGTGGTTACAAAGATCAAAACAGTTTAACAAAATGCTTTTAAATATAGCAAGAATTTTTACAAATGAAAAATATTATTGGTATGCATTTCATTAAATTTGTAAACTACACTCTCTTAAAACATCTTTAACCATGTGTGATTAAATAATATTTTGTGACGTTAACTATTTCCCCTCCTTACATTTTCCCCCTTTGCTTTGGTCCCCATTCCAGAAGGTGGTCAGCAAAGCATTTCACTGAGTATGTAGAAAAATGGAAGGCAAAAGCAGCCTATGCATTGTGCTTCTGAAAACCTCTATGAAATTGTACAAGGTTTTTGACGGTGGGGAAGAAGAAGGGTTACAGAGGTGACATTAAAAACATTTTATTGGAAAGTAGCCATTTTCTCTACCACTGCTTGTGGATAGCTGGTAACCAGTTCAGCAGGTCAGGTTCCCGGATAAGACTCTGGAAAATGGTGCCATGGATCATCTCAACACCAGCTATACTGGTATTTTTCAAAGCTCCCTAAGCGATTCTAACATACCGCCAGGGTTGAAATCTACTGATTCAAGCAGCCCAGAACAAGAGTCAAAACAATTAATGGCCAAGTATGACAGAATCGACAGAGCTAAGAAGCCCACAAAGACTCTGTGGGCAGATAAAACAGACATCTTCTCAGACAACTGCAGGGACTGATGGTCATGGACTCATCCCAGAAACCACCATGGAACACTGTTTAGCCCTGCATAAGATCCTAACAACTGTATAATATGTGAGGAAGTACTCAAGAAGTTGAACTTCAATTATATTTTAGAAAATAAAGATAAATGTCATGCACGCTTGGGTTTGTAGTAGGAAATATGCACCCTTCATGCATCTTTAAATTCATGGAAAATTAGTAAAATTTATTTTTGGTGTAATTGGAAAAATACTACAGCAGAGTGGAGCAGGGAAAAATAATCTTTCTAAAGCTACACATTGATTAATGGAAGGACAAGCAACAAAAAACGTAGTTCCTGAAATGTTGCCACATATTCAATAGCTAATATTATCTTATAATTGCACCAAGTGTTATACCTTTTTACTCTTTGACCTACTGGCTAGCAGAATAACATACTTCCCCGTTTAGGCTGAGGAATCCATTCTTGTAAAGCTAATTACTTCTAGGTGAGCAAAAAGGTAAGAAAAATGATTCTATGACAACTTTTAGGTATATATCTTGCTTGTCTAGATGGCTTACTTATTTGACTGTAAAAGAAAAATGACTCTTTTCCAACATAGCCAATATTAGGCCTTTCTGAATCAAGTCTGATTAAAAAAAATCAATCTTAAGAAAAATTCATCTTAATCACTGTTTTTCTTATTTTTATTGCTAATCTTTGAAGATATTTATACTTGTGTGATCTTATCATTTAATATTACCAGTGTTTTAAATACAGTTTTATATTACCAGGGGCTTCACCTACTGACATCTTGCTGGTGGTTTGTAGAATGGAGTGAAGGTTGGATATTAACATCCAGGCTTGAGTTATCCCTGATTTAATGTTTCAGAGTTACTAGGTGATCTTGTGAGGACAGAAATTTATTCTAATTGACCCCACAGCTAAATATATCAACATCATTGTAATCTATTTTATTTCATTATAATAAGGATGAAGATGCAATAAATATTTGGTGAGCAAATTCAGGCTTCTCATTGCAATTATATACTCAAAATTAAATACATTTTTATTACAAAATAAGCGCAATATTTGAAGAGTTAAAACTGAACATATAAAAATTGATTGATTCACAAGATGTAAAAGCTATTCAGAAGCAACCCATACAGGTGGTCTTGCCTCATAAACACTCCCCACTCACTCTTACCCCACATGATCCACCACACTTTTAACCCTGATATTGATATGTACACATGGGAAATGAAGTATTGAGAAAATTGTGCATGTAATTCAAGCAAAACAAAAATATTTTCACCATACCCATTTGTTTAGTAGAGAATACAAAAAAGGTATTTAACTTAGCCTGACTACTTGTCTGAATCATAACCTTAATTCTTCGAATTGCTTAGCATGTTTGTACCTGTGCAATGACTAAAGAATAAAACAAAGAATAGAAAGCATTCCCTTCAATGCCCCAACTGCAATTCTCTAATTGGGACCGTATAACCTCTAGATAAGAATTGAGTGTTAATAGCCTTCCATTGATGTGTCTTATCAAGATAGATGCTTCTGTTTGCTTGAAGTACAGATGATAGGCTATGAAAAATATTATTTTTCATTTATAAATTATTTTCCTTTAAACAGTGATTCTAGGCAAGTTTAACTGTATAAATTAGAGACCTTAAAATCTGTCTTCTTAATTGTCCTAAGATAAATCAGAGCTCCCTTTTCACTAAAGTGTCTAATTGTAATTGTGTGAGTTCCTAAAGGAATAAAGTCTTTCATTAGATGGACATTTTCATGTTTTGACATTTTCAACTAAAAACTATTGTTTGATATCTATAATTTTCCATAATAATCTTTTGAAAAAGGTCATCATTTAGTTGTTAGTGTGTAGTACAAGAAACAATGTAGAGGAAAAATAATAGCTTACATTTTAGAATAGGTATATGTTTTATTGTTATAGAATATCGATTTCAAATTTTGATTCTTATCAGATAAAATATGATGGTCAAAAACTAGTAGTCCATCATTGTACACTTGATAATGATTATGGGTATACTTACATTTAGAATATGAACATTGGAACAGCGATTGAGTCCAACAATAGTAAATGCATTTAATACACCTGAAGTCAGCATGTCCAAGTTTTCCTACCAGTAACAAATTGAAACTTTCATATCAATTTAAATCTAGACATAAAGCAAGTTCTCCTGCCTCACATACTTACAGTTTCTAGCAGGACTTTATAACAAACATTGACCATAGTCCACACTTGGAGCCAAAAGCAGGCATTAGACATAACTGGTGGAGGTATTACTAGGCATTTTCATGTTTCTTCGCTTATCTGTGTGTGGCACACAGTGGCCAGGCACTGGATACCTGTACCTTTGCTTCTTTCTGTTGCAGCAGCAAAATCCACAAAGCAGACCGCCTCCAATGAAGAGGACAGCAGCGCTTGCCCAGCCAAGGAAAAGTGCTGCTCCCAGCTCTCGTTTCTGGCCTATGTGGACAGCTGGGTTGTAGAAATCTCTGATGATTATATTGGCTGTCCAGCTCACCGGAATCAGAACGAAGATGCCCGTCAGGATGAAGAGGACTCCTGAAGTTCCCAGAAGGTATGCTTTGGCCCTCTCATTAGAGCCCGTGCACTGGACCTGCTTCATGCCACAGATGCCAAGAAGTAGGGCGATCAAGGAGAGAGCAACAGCCACACACATGAGTGCCCGGGCTGTTTCCAGGACAGGCGGAAGAGCCAACAATGAACTATAGAACTTGCATTGCAACCGGGCCCTGGCTTGTCGGATGCAGTTCATCCAGAGCCCTTCCCAGAGCCTCTCAAAGACAATAATGTTGCTGCCGACAAAAGCCGATACTCTCCACTGAGGCAGAAGCGTTGTGGCAAGAGTCCCCACCATGCCAAGGAACCCAAGAACCAGCCCAGCAATTTGCAAGGGATAAAATGCCATTGCCTTTTACTTTGAAGACCAGTCCAATTCGGAGTGGTAGAAGATGCTCAAGATGTAGAACGTGGAAGGCTCTTGAGTCTAGAGAAGTCTTTGATGATGTTCTCCTTGGCTGCTGCCCATATCATTTTAGTCCAAATCAGTGGCTGTGACTGAACTTGGCCTAACTAGAAGTACCTGTTGTAAATGCACGCTACCTTTTTTCATACACATTCATTTCTCTATGGATTATTTACTAGTCATATATAATTGTTTCCCAGCCAATAAGAAGGTAGCTAGGGGTGTGTCAAGAAATACTGCATTCAGCTTTAGGATTTCTCACATTATTATTGTCTTAGCAATGCTGTAATTAAGTGTCAAAGTTTCCATTGTGAATTGCTAATTACAGAGCTGAAACTTCCTGTGTAAAAAATCACTCTGATATAAAAGTATAAATATATGTGTTAAGGCACACCTGAAGACAATGCCAAAACCTTGTCAGTTTATTGGAGAGTAATTAAAAAACATTTTGGACTTTATTACTTTATTCTAGTGTAAGCCACTTTTCCTTAAGATAGTAATCAATTCTGGCTTTAATAAAGATACCTCGATATGGAGAAATGTTTAGGTATTAGTTTCAAGACACACGAAAACTATTGATACTTAGGAGGAGCCCTAAGCAAGAAATTCACATTTCATAGTTTACTCTTAAGATCCAGAAAAGAAGAAAACAGAGAAGTATTCCTTATAATTAATTTGAATGAACTGTTAATTATTACTTTAACTGTTAAGTAATACCTCTCTCTCTCTGTTAAGTAATGTTTAGTATGGAAACTTTCATTCAGTGTTTCTTCAATGGCAGCTTGAAATAGATCACATTTATTAAGACCAAACACGTACCTTTCATTTTTATGGAACAATATAAAAGTGGCCCTTGAAATTGGCTATGCAGTCACTTGAAATTTAGACGCTAGAGAACATTTTAGTGCTGGAAGTTATCTTTAAGGCCATCAAACTTAACACCCTTATTTGCTAGATGAACGGAAGGTGTGCAAAGTGTTTGGCTGAGACAAGCCATGTGGCAACTGATCCAGGGACAAGCCCAGGTCTGTAACTCACTATGCTTACTTTCTCTGTCTAGTCTGATTCAAAAATAGGAAGGAGAGATTACTTTTTTAATCTTTTCATATAAGTGGGACTAAACCTAGTGGAAATGTGGCACTATCTACAGTTTTTCAAATGGGTTTCAAAGGAAGAAAAATTCAGTTGAGATTATTTCAAAATTTGAGTCAAGTTGTAACTTTTGACTGCTACTTTCCTGCCACTCCCTAGAGGCAGTGGGGGGCTTCGTGTGGGAAAAGTGGACCTTTTTCCTTTTCCTTTTACATCCCACTGGCAAGGGATCTATTGTAAGGATGAAAATGACTCCAAAGCAAGCACGCCAACCACACTCCAGGTGGGAGACATCACGGTTTGCAAAATGTCCTCCATCTCAATCAGTTACGAGCCAAAGATTTAATGGGTGGTCCAATGACAACCAGATTTAGAGTCCATTCACTGACTTCATGAATGTGAAAACCATTGAGTTTTCAAGATGATGGGTCTGAGAACTCCCTCTCTAAGGAATGTGAATCGTTGAGCAAACAGATGACTTCTGTGTTGTTAACAGTTTCCCAACACTTGATTGGATGAAGGGTTTCCTTGGCCCTTTGTTCATGGTTACTGAGACATAGGCTTAACTATTCCCTCCCTGACAGGATTTTCCAGTATTACTCTGACTTGTTACTTCTGGGTCTTCTTCCTCATTCTAGTTCCTCTTCCTCATTCTAGTTCCTCTTCCTCATTCTATCTCAGATGTCTTGCTATGCTCATTTTGTCCTGGAAGTTTCCAACATTTTTTTCCAATTATTTGCTTTCTCATCAGCTAGAGCATATTGTCTGTATTATAAGTGAAAACATACGTTTGTTTAAATATAAAAATCTGAGGCTGGGTATAGTGGTTCCCATCTATAATCACAACACTTTGGGAGGCTGAGGCAGGAGGATTTTTTGAGCCCAGGAGTTTGAGGCCAGCCTAGGCAAATAGTGACACTGTGTTTCTACAAAAAAATAAAAATTAGCTGGATGTGGTGGCAGACGCCTGCAGTCTCAGCTACTCGGGAGGCTGAAGTGGGAGGACTGCTTGAGCCTGGGAGGTCAAAACTGCAGTGAGCTGTGATTGCTTTACTGCACTCCAGCCTGGGCAACAGAGTGAGACCCTATTCCCAACCCCCAAGAAATGAATAACCTGAAAAACATAAATAACGTAGGAGTTCTTGGTCTTTGCCTCTCACAGACAAAGCCGATTGTTAAAAACATTTTAACTTTCTCTCCTTTGTATTTAGGGGAAGATACTGCTTTCCTCTCCAACCTTTCTGTGAATTTCATCCCCTTCTACCTCCTCAGTGGGACTTGCTCTATTGATCACTTCCTCCTTTCATTGTGCTGACACCTTCTCCCTCTCTCTGAGGAGTCCCTTAGAAAATAAACATACTCAATTTTCTTCTATTTTAAAACTCCATCTTGGAATATATACATCATGGAATACTATGCAGCCATATAAAATAATTATATCCTGTCGTTTACAGCAACATGGATGCAGCTGGAGGCCATTATACTAAGTGAATTAATACAGAAACAGAAAACCAAATCTCGCATGTTCTCACCTATAAGTGAGAACTAAACATTAGGGACACTTGGAGATAAAGATGGCAGCAACAGACACTGGGGACTGCTAGAGAGGGAAGGGAAGAGGGAGATAAGGGTTGAAAAGCCAACTATTGGGTACTATGCTCGCTATCTGGGTGATGGGATCATTCACACCCAGATCTCAGCATCAGTAAACGACTTACACATGTGCAACCTCTACCTCCAGGGTTCAAACGATTCTCCTGCTTCAGCCTCTATAGTAACTTTTATTTTATTGTAAAATAAAAGTTGAAATTATAAAAATATAATAGAAATAAATAAAAATAATAAAATAAAATTCCATCTTGCCAGATCTGTATTCCTTGCCATGTGTCTCTACACATCTTTTGGTCCTCTCTCACATTTCCCACTGCTATACACATTGAAATCTGCCTTTAGTCATCATGTGACCCATGAAAACCTTCCTAGAAATGTTACAGACTTCTTGGACATCCTAACTACTATCTTTATAAAAACGCTTCCATATTTCTGCTTATTGATGTTTCAGTGAAAGTCACAACAAACCACTGTCATCCAATGAGAGACAGTGAAGGGCGTGTGCTCTGAAGGGAGACTTGGTTCAGTCTTGGCTTGTGCCTTAGCCATCCATCTCAGGCATGTTTTTGAACCCCCTCCCGACAAAAGTGCCTGGTCTATGAAATCAGGATAATCATAACATCAAACTCACAGGGCTGCCTTGAAGATTAAATGGAATGTGTGCAAAGAACCTGGTCCTGAGCAAACACCCAGGAAAGTTTTTCTGTTAATATTTGTCTCATTAGTATTTGTTGTATTATCGTCCTTACTACTTCTCCGCAGATGCATTCTCTCTCTTCTTTCTCTAGGTGCCCTTCGCCATGTTTGTTTTGTTTGTTTTCTTCCAGACTTGCTGATACACCTCAGTACTCTTCTCACTCAGCACACTCTCCCTAAGGCACCTCACCTATGTCTGCACAGCATTGCCTACCTCCTGTCAGGCTGCAAGTTCTGAATCTGTTGTATTTAGCCCAGGCCTGTTTCTGTTTGTCATTCTCAGCTAATTTTTCTTTCTTATTCTTTAATAAATACATGCCTAGAGTGGACACTGTGATGTTCCACCCAGATGTCTCTTTCAGCTGCTTAGAGTGCTATGGGCAGAACACCCCCAAATCTCAGCCCCATTCAGGTATTACCTGATAATAGGCATGTCACTCAAATTATTCCCCATTCATAGATGTAGCCCATATCCAGTGACTCATCAATGTGGTCCTGACAACTAGCCCTGTTAGCCCCATGGGGTTAACACTCAGGGGCTATTCTAGCTCCAGAGCTCACTGTGTGGTCAGCTAAGGCCTTCATTAGCCTGGCATCCCAACTAAACTTCTCTATATGGCCAATCCTCTTCCTTGCCTTCTTTTCCTAAGGTGTTGATCTTATAATAAACATAATGCACACTAATCTCTGCCTCAGAGTCTCATGCTCAGGGAACCCAACCATTGATTGACACCTTATTCAAATGGATTAAATATGTTTTCTGTTCTATGCCGTGTCTTAATTCAGTCCTTTGACATGCCTCATCTGTACCATTTCAAGAATGTCTTACCTAATCTCCTTGCCTCTGCCCGTCCTTACTACTTTCTGATTCATTTTCTATTGAAGAACCATAAAACCTTGCAGGATCAAACTCTATACATGCCACCTAAGACCTTACTTAAAATTTTTCATTATTTCTCTATTGCCTGTAAAATAAGATCCAAATTCCTTAGCATGACGTGAGAGACCAATTTTTGAATGACCCCTGCCCAACTTTAAAACTTAGCCTCTGACCATGACTCCATTCCATGCCTTCACGGAGCTTACATTTTAGTGAGCATGATAAATACTAAACATGCAATTGCCAAAATATATATTATTAAAAATTAAGGTATAGCTATGGTTAAAATATATAGGGTATAAACAGAAATGATTTTAACTTTAACTAAGAGTTCTCTAATGAAGGAAGGGCACTCTGATAAAACAACATTTAAACTGCAACCTGAAGCTTGAGTAGGAATTAGCCAGATAATTCAACAAAGAGTGAGAGAAAGAGAATTCTGGGCACAAGAGACCATCTGGGTAAGGGCACTGCAGGCAAAGAGAGTTTGGGTCTAATGCAAGTGGAAGACCAACCCAGAGGAGAGTGAGATAATTGAGATGACGTTGCAAATGTAGACAAGGTCCAGATATGCAAACAATGTGAACCATGTAATAATCTCCTAAGAGCAATGCAAAGCCAGTTAGAGATTTTCAGCATGGGACTCACACAATCAAGACTCAAGTCTGCTTAAAAAACAAGAAAAGAGCTATACA